AATGCACAATAAAGAAACAGTCGACCGTTGAATACAGTTACACCCGCATGTGAATGCGAAACCGTAGCAGCTGTCCGTCATAATAATAATAGTAGGTATTATGACGTACGCGTGTTTAAATTAGAAATATGTGTTGTTGATCGGAAACATCTATTAGAAAAATTAATCGGTCCAACTGATATTATTAAAACAATATTCTAATGCTGTGCACAATAAGCATGAACAATAATGTATGTGCCTTGTAAATATTTTGTAATACGGTGTCGTACAGCAGCAGCTGTTGTCGTCGTCGCGTGCGGCTGTTACGCATAATTCAAGGGCGGTATGGTTCAAAAATATCACTGGTAATAAACAAGTTTATTGTATTAACGTTAAAATGAACGTTTTTCTTCGAATCTAATAATTGTCTCAAAATATTTTAGTGGAAGTGCGTACTAAGAACAAACGTTATTTTAACGGCTTTGAACGATACCGATAAAAAAACATTAAAACAGTATAGTATAATTTATATTTTTTTTTCAAATTTATTCCAATATAAAAATATTTTTATTTAGATTCCGAGCGGCGCAATAGATGTATTGATTTTATAATGATGTGTGCGTGCGTGGTTGTTTTTTTGTATCTGCAGACACTTTAGCTACTAGAAAAAATGATCTGATCATCAACTTTGACGGAGGTTTCTTGTAGCAAATTGGATTTAGTCGGTATTTTTACGAGGTCAAATTTAAAAATCCTCAGTTCTTTTTAAAATAATCGGGAAAACCTAAGCAAAATATTCGAATATTTGTTAAACATTTAATATAATTACTAAAAAAAATTTTCTAGTGCCCAACTTTCGTTGCCAAATAACTAAACCTTGTTCGCTTAGAATTGATTTTTCATCGTTTACAAAGCTTCATAATTTCATTCAAATCGAACGCGTCTATATCATAGTACCTAATCATTGACGATGTACACTCGACTCATACAGGATACCAGAGAGGTAACCACTATTCCCCCTTTTTATGATTATAGCTATTGTAATAATTCACATTAAAATTTACAATGATTTCTAATTAAAATATATTAAACGAATATATACTTGTTGTGATATGTTTGTATAAAACTTAAAACTAAATACTATATTCATTAAAATCAAACGTGTGACTAATTTCACCGGAGGGATATGATTTGTAAATGTAATAGTGTTATTGTGCTCTGGGTGGTTATTTAAACAAATTAAAATAATTTCAAAATATGTCCAGACTTTATACTACCTCAGGGACTTCTGCTTATTACTCATTTTATTTCCTGATTTTTAAGTATTTAATTTAAAAATAGTAAAAACAAATTTTACTTTACAGTTATAAAGTTTTTAAAATATCAAACTAGACAAATAAGTACATACCTACTATTGTGTATGAGTTGTGAAATTTTTACATTTATCTGTTAGTAATTTTAAATTCTTAACAACCAATATGACACTTTTAAATATTTTTTTTAACCAATCATATATTTATGAACAATAAATAATAATTTTAATACCTACATCATATTATGATACTTGTTTTAGGTTGTGAAAAGGTTTGTATAATTTAGTAATTGTATTACTTATTAATTAGAATACAATAATAATATAATGGCTTAAAAGTAATTTGAAATCAGCAATTCACATTAATTAGTTAACTAATAGAATATAAGTGCATAGAGTACAGAACAAAATTAATTTAAAAAAAAAACAATTTTCCAATCCAACCAAATATCAATAATTGTTTTTGAATAAATATAATTTGTGACAGTTGGTATTTGTGTACGTAGATTCTCGTAAAATTCAAAATTGAATTATATTTTCAACAGTTTTGCATTTTTTATTTATGCCTTCAAGTAACTTATTTGAATTTTAGCCATCTGGTGACTATAATACGTCGGAAAGTTGTACGGTTCAAATAACAATATGTTTGTCCAACTTTGATAAACATTTTTTGTAATGAACATATTATAATTAAAATTTGTTCGAATACAAGTTTAAAACTACACATAATAATATATGTGTATATATTTTTTTAATGTATAGACAAGTATAAATGTTTTAAAATAGATGATGGTCATAATTTCATAATTTCATGATATTGTTTATTATTATCAAAATTTATTTGGCAGTCTAAATAAAGACATCAAAAGTATGTTTAACACCCGCCGTTGCAACTAAAAGGATTCTTACGAGTAAAATATTTATAATGTGTATTTTATATTTTTATGCTTAATAAAACAATACATTTATTATGTATACTTTATTGATGGCTCAACACTTTAAAACAAACATATTTAAAAATAATCCACATCATTATACTGTGAAAAATCTCGCCTTCCTTAAAAATAGAACTTTTTTTAATGTTTACATTGAAGGGTTAAAAATAAAAAATAATGATATTAGGTACACAAATAGGAGATTCTATTAAGTTTATAAATATAATACATTTTACGAATTGATTACTCTCACACTTATTTACATGTGATTTCCCAAAATCTGTAAGAATGATTTAAATGAAATTATTGGTTCAAAGATTTCTTTCGAAAATATTTCGAAACAATTAGGTTAATAACGTATACTAAAATATTGAATTTCTTACATTCGGCTATCATCAGTCATATTAATACACACTTAAGACTTATCCAATGTTGCGTATTATATTAAATGATATTTCAATAAGTGTATACGATTCAGACTAATCTGGATCAACACTAGTAAAAGTATATCAATATTTGGGTATTATGGTATAATATGGGGATTGGTGCTGTTGGAATGATATTGTAATATAATAATAATTGAAAGAGTATTTTGGCTACTACAACATTTTATAAATTATTTACTATATGAATTTAAAACTATTTACGTTACATTTAAATGTTCGATTGTATTATTTGTTATTGAATTGTTATGCAAATAAACGTTGATGAAAAGTTTTTTTTATCATTGTGTTAAATGCAATTTATCACCAAATATATAACTGAATCCCTTTCAGTATATTACCATGGCTGTAATTATTGTTGGAAATTTTAATTTGAAACAGACACATAAATAAGTTGTGACATTACTAAACTTGTATTATTCTTTTGATTGTCAGTATGCTGTTTCAAATTGCAGTTGAATAAAAACATTATTTCTCCATGATCCATTTTGATTTTTATTATATATTTATATAAGTCATTTTTCAAACATTAAGACAATACAAAACATATTCGTTCAACATCATAAATTAAATATCAATATCTACGTTTAAGATGCATAATAAGTAGGTTCCTACATAATATTTAGACCATAATTATGGTATTATTATGATGAACATCAGATTTACCACCACCAAATTTGTTAACGAAATTAGTCAAATTTAGCTTTGTTTTTTTTATATCGTGTCCAAGTATAAATAGCTGTGAAAAATATTCATGCTCCACACTCGGGTACCTACACCCTCCTTTGTCAAAGAGTTGAAATATAATTTAATATCCACGTGTTAGGCTAGGTTGAATATCAAATTCCAGTTTATGATTTCATCGTCTAATGACGCACTTAGTCACATACAGAAATGTTGTTGAGTGTCCTATTAAAATAATTATATGGCAGGACCGTTGTTTCATTCAAAATATTATAAGCCTGTGGAAAAGTACTCGAAATGTGATGTAATTAATATATGTACAGTAGGTAGGTATATATTGAATGTAATTATTATCTCACCCGAGATTATAGAATTGTTTCACGTTGTTATCAATTCGTGTATGTGGCGTTCTAATAAAGACGGAATAATATGTCAGTAAAGGATTTATTATACATGTAACAGTGAACAATCAATAATAAATAATAAATAACCATTGATTATTGTGTCTTTCTTTAATATCAGACTTTCTCGAGGAATAACGACATCCGAATTTCTAAACCAATTTAACGCAGGCATAATATGCCACTTGATAGTCTTACGTTTAGTTATGTTAATGCAATTATTTAACATTTAATAAAAAGTGTTATAGTGTGTGAAATAAAATAATACATATCAGGTGCAATAGAAGAAAATAATTTAATTTTTACGAACTTCACTTTGCATATACAATTGTTGTACTCAGTATAATTGAAATAACATCCCTTTATAATTTATTAAGGTTGCGAAAAAAAATATAACATATTGTTTCAAAAACATATTTTTAATTGTGTTATGATATTTTTTAATGTAACGAAAAAAAAATATGAAGAAAATATTTTTTACGGAGTGACAGTATAATATTTGTATAAAGTGTCTAAGAGAGTAGGTACATGATTTATAGTAAATTCTATATATAACTTTTAGGTATAATAATACACACAATATTATACATAGAATACTGTGCCATGTTATTAATTATAATTTGTAAAAACAAATTTTATTTGATCTCCATTCGTATTTAAATTTGTTTTTAAAAAATCAATAAATAAAAATAAAAGTATTATGAATACCTATTTTTAAGACAAATCGTAGCCGTAAATGGTTATTTTAAAAGTAACTATATTATTTTAAACATTAGATGGCAGTTTATTTTTTGAAGATAGGTAGTTATATTTTAATTTTAATAACACGAGAGAATAATAGAAAATGTACACCGAATAAGGTGTTATGAGGGTACGTAGAAACAAAAAAATAAGTTCAAAAATGCGGTATTAATACTGATACAATTTCAATTACAAAGTATCAAATTGAAATTGATTATAAGTTTACCCAACACGCCGTAGAATTAAGTTGATTCGCTTAGTGGAATAACATATTGCGCCTGTACACCAGAATTGTCTCCAAGGATCGGTAATCTATTTAAATATTCTCGTTAGCCATTAGGCGTTAGGAGAGAAACGTGACGTGGACTTAATGCCATGGTTTAAGCTGCGTTTTCCCGTCGCAAAAGCCGAGAGGGTTAGCAAAAGGCTTTACTCGTGTCACCTAGTTATAATACAATATGTTTCATGTGAATTTATTTTGTCTGATTTTCCGTTTTTTTTTCAGAAACCATTCACATTTGAAAACGCAAACGGGTCATGAGTTTTGTTTGGTGGAAGGATTTCCGGAGAAAGAGACCCCCGACGGGCCAGCAGGCGTGGAGAAAATTTGACTATTGGCGGCATGCTACCGTCGACAATACAGTCCACCAACTGGTGATGTCCTCAGTGACCACCTAAAGCCCATCACCATCCTCTCCTTTCACCCACGCCTTCGCTGGCCATCGCATTGATATATCTAACTTCTGTTTGGTCGGATTGAATTGATCCACTGCCACGGGCGCCACAATGGACTCGCTAAACGTGGCGGAAAACCTATCCAGCCTCTCGGGCATGGTGTTCAAAATCGACCAGAACGAGTTCGGGCTTCTGGTGGACGAGAACGGCACGGGTTTCCTAAACGACACCAACGGGACGATGGACCCGAACCGAACGTATTACATTTTCGAGTCGGTTTACCCTTCAACGTACTCGATACCGGAAATAGTTGTCGCTTCCGTCGTGGTAATCATGCTCATGATCGTCGTCGTCGTGGGCAACATGCTGGTCATCATCGCCATCGTGACGGAGAAAGCGCTTAAAAACGTGCAGAACTGGTTCATCGCCAGCCTGGCAGTGGCCGACTTCTTCCTGGGCATAATCGTCATGCCATTCTCGTTGGCCAACGAGCTGATGGGCTATTGGATATTCGGCGACTGGTGGTGCGACATACACGCCGCGCTCGACGTGCTCCTATGCACCGCGTCCATCATGAACTTGTGTCTGATAGCCCTGGACAGGTACTGGTCCATCACGCAGGCCGTCGACTATTTGAAGAAACGCACGCCAGCCCGGGCCATGGTCATGATCGGTTTCGTGTGGATATTCAGTGGCGTCATTTGCATACCACCTCTGCTCGGCTGGAAGGTCAAGAGGGTGCCCGAACGATATCCGAAATGCCAGGTATGTGTCATTCTGTAAACTTTTGTGTTCCGGATAACTAAAAACTCGTCATGAGAAGCTCTTCGTATAACCACATGTTGAAAAGTTTTTTACAATAGGTACCTATCTAATCACTTGGTATTTGATTGAAATTTATGCAATACTATTTTTTAGTGTAAACGCTTTCATTAAATTGAAGCAAGTTAAAATGCGCAAGGAAAATGATCTCGAAAATAAACTTTTACATTGTACACGAAACAAATTAAAAATAATACAATTGTTACAATATATATATTATATTGTGCGTTTGGCCACGGTTATTTCGGAAACCACAAAATCTATCGAAGCCGTATTCACACATTATTATTAGTGTTTTCATTGGTTTTGGTTTTGGTTAGGTGTCGGCGAGGTGCCCATAAAAAAATTCTCTGTGGGCAATACAAACGTTGCAGGGCGGTCAGCTAGTATTTATATAAAATATTTTATATGTCAACCGGTGATTTATGTTTATGAGCCAAGTGTAATAATTTATAACTTAAAAAAGGTTAACTCAAATAAAATTAAGATATATATCGTAATAATTTGATACAATTATTATAGATACTGAATTAAAATGTTTACTTTAAAATATCATGAAGAGTAATGATTAATTCTAAATTGACTTGTTAGGTCAAATGTCATAGGTAGTGCACATTGAAGTTGGAAAGTATGAAAATGTAAACCATATTAAAAATAGTTGTAATAATATGGTTGAAAGCACATTGTAATGCATCTGAAATAAATGACAGACGTAGTATGATATATGAAAATAAAAATACAAAGTCAGATACCACATTAGGAGCACAATAATGAATGCTCGGAGATGTGTAAAAGTGTGAAATAAGTAAAAGTACATAATATTACGTTTACTGTTTATATTAAATTAATTATCAATCTAAAAACTGAAATTTATATAAATAGTTCAAAATTTTGTAAACTTCAAATAGGCACATAATGTATTTTGCATGTGTAGATATGTTATTTTCTTTACTTTTATCAATGCAAAATAAACATTTGTACTATTTTGTTTGTTCAATATCTCTCCGTTACTGTGCGTTATCCCTTAGATATTCGATCCAACAAAATTATAAACAAACAATGCAGATTAGATTCAGATTGATGTCAGGAGCAAAGTAGAAAAATGTAATAAACTTGAGCTTACACTAGTGTAAACACGATGTTCTAAAAATATCTTGAAATGAACGTTCGGATGCTGATATTCAAATATATTATTATTATCAATCGAATTTCAACAGTTTAATTGCTTTTATTAATAAATTATATGCCTGTCGCCTGTGCTCGATTATTATCATGTGTCTCAGAGCACTTGCAATATTCATATTTCATATATTATTATGTTTTATCGAAGACTCAGTAACAATATTTTTCTCGGTTGAGGTTCAAGAAATAAATAAAACACTTAACATTTATAAACGGGATTTATCAATAATTTTCGTTCATTACCAATTGGTTCTGTAAAAGTGACAGTCATTAATTTTAAAATAATAAGCACCATCAGACTATAAATTATATTATTGTCATGCAATTCTATAATATTAGTAAGTGTGAGTTAAATTATTATAAATTTGAGTGTAAACATTAACAAAATGTACGAGAAGCAAAGTTCTATTGTCGTATGTACAATGATGTCGGTGTTCAGGTATATCATGGGTTTAGTATATAATGCTAAATATTTTTTAACCCCATTTAACATTAAAGAGGTGGCAGAATGTTTTGAAATATTATTTTCAGTAAAATGTTTCTTAAAAAATTCAACTCTTTCACAATTTTATTGAAGTTAATTTGACTGGCAAGTTTTTACTTTTAATCGAGTCAAGTATAAATTGTTTATATCTGTCAATTAAAATAAAAAATGATAAAATTAAAATATTGACTTTTCACTACAATTTCTTTGTAATAATAATAATATTGTCATTGTTATGAACTTAAGCGTTTAATATTGTTATAGAACAATTTATATAGTCGTTTGTGAGCTATGCAGTGTATAGTTTCCTAAAAATATTGTTTTCATTAGAACGAATATGAATCGCTTATTACTATTATGCTAATGTGTAAATCCGCAAATGTAAAATTAAAAACTATAAGTGTAAAGTAGGTACATCAAAGTTTTATTTTTCAACTATGAGAATAAATTATAGTATTATACTAATACGTATATAGCATATATATATATTTGGGTTGGTTTAGGTGAGGTTATATAAAATATATGTGCCTAACTTACTATAATCTTAAACATTTTTATTTTCTGAATTGAATATACATTTACCCCCGAAAAATGTTACTGTTAAATATAATGGAAACACTCAATATCATCTTAAACTCTGAACCAATTTCAAACCTTTTTATTTCATTATAATAATATGTAGAAAATACAAAATTTTAAGAAGATTTTATACTTATACAAAACAGTATTTTTATTGAAATAAATACCTATAACAGTTTCTGATTGCATACGTATTATATTTTGAAATACTGTTTTAAGCTCATAATAAAAGTTCGAACGTCACAAAGGTATAACACTTACTATTCTGTAGACATATTTCAATATTTGATATTTGTTTATTTTAGATTGAAACAGTGTAACATAAAATGTACATTTTTCAGATAATTTAGTCATGTTCCTGACACACCTAAATTAATGGTTAAACAATTAATTCATGGAGCTTTAATCTATAACACCAATTACCGAAATACATTCTCCGTCATATTAGATTTTTTTATTGATCTGGAAATACAACTCAGCAAGGTCCATTAGTTAAAGGTCTTAGATACTATTAATAATTCACAACTGTTATGACCTAAAGAGTTTACATTATGATACATTAATTTAACAATTACAATTATATTTTGTCGAAGAGGTCAGTTCATTTTAAAAATTTGAGAATTTTTCTGCTTTGACCTGAGTTGGTCCAAGGTTTCGTCAAGTGTTTGCATAATGGATTATCAATTGATGTTTTGAATTGTATACTGATCGTAGTTCAATGAGTAACTTAAAATATTATATTATATAAATGGTTGGAAAGAATTTCGATCTAAATTTGTTGCAGATTGCTGGGCATACAGTGTCAAAAAATATTAATTTGGTTATTGTAATAATGATATTCGCTGGAGACATATAAAAAAAAGGATGATATTTTTAGAAAAATGATTAAGTGAAATATGCAAATAATAAACATACACTAAACTCAGTAATCAGTATGAAATCTAAAGATTTGTTTAACAGAACATACGGTTTAAAATTAATTTTTATATCGTAATGTCACATTCTTATAATGCGTTTGGTAAATTTGAATAAATAAGACACGTTTTGTATGCATATTATTATTATTATTATTATTATATTATAATGGGGGTACGATGAATATTGAATATAGTCCAAGCTACAGCTGTTTGGGTATTTGTAGCTGAGACTAATGAGGTGTCAGCCATAGGAGGCAGATCGAAAGATATGTCAATTTGTTCTACCGTATTGATTTGCATAATATGAAGAATCCTATTTTTTTCTCGTCATTATGATATAGGTATTGTAGATCTGGCTTAGAAATATTCCATTTTAGACGAACGTATAATACCATTCTCTGCATTACGTCTATGGACAATATTCTTAATGGTGGAATGCATTTGACCAAGTTAACTTTTTAAGACTTTTACAATTAACATGCAGGCCGTACAGCAAAGACAGATATGATCGTAGGCTTACACGAATATAATATTAATATCTCATTAGCGAGAACACTATATAGGATTATTGTTTTTTTTTTTTTTTTAATTTTGAGTAGGTTGTATTTGAAATATTTGTCTTTGGAAACTAATTTTAAGGAGACTATCATTTCTACATCTACACAATTATAGTCTCATATAATTTAATAAATATATCAATTAGTATATTATTTAAAATGTTTTACATACAAAATTGACAGGCGTAAGCCCTTACGGTTTCCGTGATATCATTTATAATAGATGATAGGTGGATGTGCAGGACATATAACTGATTAATAAATACATAAGATCTTGAATAATCTCTGCTTGTTGATAAATCGTGATATATATAACATTGTAACACAGGTCATAATATTGTCTTATTAATAATATATTCAGACAGGAAAGAGCAGTATCAATTATGCAAATAAATATCCTAGACATTTGGTCACGTCCGAATGATAAGTCCCATACGACAATATTCTTTTGTTGATCAGATGACATAAATCTTCCAACTTACTGTCGATCTGCCAGTCAATATAATATCGTAGTGGCTCCTTTGTTTGTTGGTTACGTACTAGTAAACTTAGTGTACTTAGTAAATAGTAGATATTGGTTGTCGACTGTCACATGGATTGGTGATTGCGGAGAAAACATAGATATCGATTAGTGGTAGACGTTTGTTAATAATTACTAAAATCCGGCCAATTCGACAGTTATTAATACTAATTATGTACCAAACCAATAGAAAATTTTAACAATTACTATTGTTAATATTGAGTCATTATATATATATATTAGCATGAATAAATATTATTAAATATTAATAAATACACTATAATATTTTTATATTAAAAACTATAGGCGTTATATATTACTTGCAGTACTAATCTACAATATAAAGCATATTAAATAAAGAAAATGTTCATTTTTCGCCAACAATGTCATTTGTGGTTAAAATATAAGTATCATAGAAACTTTGTTTTGCTTTGCTTGAAAAAATAATTTAGTTAATTAAATGTTTTAATAATTTAATTAAATTATGTCGTTATATATTTTTAATTTATACCGTTCACAAAAGGTATTATTTACCTACTCAGTGTATATCCAGTTATCTTTCTAAAAATAATTTAAACCAAAAATACATAATATACCATCTGTTATTTGATCAATGTTACATAACACAACTTCTAAAAGGAGACAGAGTCTCTCCACAAATCATCGCTCACAACTATTTAAATAGTAATTGCATTAAAATTGTA